ATATTATATTAATATATTATATAAGTTATAACTTATCAGTATAAAAAATATTGTTAAAATATGACTATATGAGATTATAATGTAATATAATATATTATATTATAAGTCTCTAACTGCAATCGAATCTCAGCGACCAGTGACAATGAATTCACTATTCACAATATTACAGAAGTAATAATAATATAATCGAGTGAGTAATACACGAATATAATATTAATTATTATATAATAGAACAAAAATGTTACCCGGATGACGAATATAATAACTGAAGATCTGGGAACAAGTGAACAACTACGAGACTTTTCCAGTTACCTAATATTTCAGGAGGCACTTAAAAATGTTTTAAAAATTAATAAAAATTATAGTTAGATGTCAACTTCAATTCGTATAAGTAGTAGTCAGGGACAAACTGTCAAAATCAAATCAACTTGCAGATGTCTAGCATTGTTACACTAAAATAAAAACCAGACATCTTCATTAATAGGATATTATTATCTCTGTATTTATTATTTAACAGTCAGATTTGTCTGGTTGGACTGGTTGGACTGGTTGTTGCACCAAACGACGCAATTTTTTTCTTGATAATGTACAATCAGAAATAACTTTGACCAAAATATTGAGATGTCTTGTTGTTTCTCCCAGGTCTTCAATTTGATTTTTATACGTAGGTATAATATAACTTATACGAGTTAATGCGTAAATGTGTGATACTGTAGTCGCCAATCGATCTGCGATTATGTTGTACATGATATTTTATTATGCGTGTTTTGTATGAGTCAAGTCCACGATACACGCAAGGTCTCGCTAGTTTCAAGGTCCTGGATGGAGTACCTATATTATTATTATTATTATTTCAAAACCTAATAATTGGTAACATAATATTATAGTATTACGTGTTTGTGGAATAATATCTATTTATATATAAATTAATGTTTCTTTGTTTGTCCTCTATAGAATCAAAAACTACTGGACCGTTTTCAATAAAAGTTACATCAATAGATTCTTTGGGAGTTGGAGGGTGTCTATAGCTTATTTATTCAACCCCTATTGTAGGTAGTAATTGGAAGGATTGGAACGTTTGTTTAGGTTAACAAAAATTGAATCCTTTTTATTTATTTAAATTTTTTATGTTACTATTGGTTATTGATTATATTATTACTATTATAATTAGTAGAGGTCATAGCCACATAATATTGTGGCATATCAAAATGGTTACAAATATATTTTGAACAAAAAAACATCTTAAAGTACTTATAATTTATAAACACAATTACAATTGCAGTCTGCAGATTACATACTTTAAATTTTTATGATTTGCTTTCTTAATACAATATTATGGACAGACATATTTTCCATAATCGAATGATTGTTTTGTTTATAGTATAAATATAAGGATTAGCGATTAGGGTTGTCGCTGGTTACAAAAAAAATTCGCTCAGATTAGCCGTCCGCCTGAATGCGTTATTCCTATGGTATTTATTTTAAATAGAACAAAAATATTTGATTCGTAGTTTTTTATTCAAATGTACAACTAAAGGCAATGCCCGTACGTTTGTAGCTCATAACTCATAAGTCATAAGTAAACTATTCAACCGATTTTGACGAAAGTTTTGGGATTGTTCTTATAGACATATCAGGAAAGTTTAGAGTGTAGTTTGAATCACGTTCAAAAATATACAATTTAATTCCAACATATAATCCACCACGGGAGATTGGCCATATCGGTAAAATCAGATCACAAAGCGAGTTAGACTTATGCCGATTTTCCAGTGAACTAAGTTACTGAGGTACTGAGGTACTGTTACTAAAACCAAGACGCATTACACGTGACTGATCATTGATATTATAATTTATAGCGTCGTATTTTATATATTTTGTTGCCAGACCATGAATTCGGGTTGTATGACTAGAGAGTATATAGCTATAGTAATATATAAATATTAGTATAGAAGAATTAATAATAGTGATTTTTTCAAACAAATTCTCCAATTAATAATTACCTACTAAAATATTGAATAAACATATAGAAAATAGAATTAATTAGGTTTAGGTATATAAAAATATAGAAACCAAAATGTATCTATTATAATATTTAGGTATATAACGTTTAATATTTACTAATGTAGGGGAATTTTAATGTATCATTTGAATTTGTACGTGGAATTGTTTAAGAAATTTTAATAGTTTAATGCAAGTTATGGGTAGGTATGTAAAATATTACAATTTAAAAATTGTCATTTTACCTAGGAAAAATTTAAGTAGGTATTGTAAAAAATTAAAACAGATACTTACTGCAGACTTCAATTTTGAAATTTTTTCAATTCACTTTTTTATTAAAACTAACAACACAAGGTTGGTTCAGCTGAACACTAACTTATGCTATGTTGCACATTCCTCGTATAGGTCAAAGAGAGAAATCAAATATAATAATATTATAATATTATTTTAATTCGTGTTATCATCCATTATCGATTATTTTCTATTTTATTTTAGTCATCACTATTTCCTTATATTTTGGTGTAATTTATTTTGTTGAAGATTTCAGATTTGTGTGTGGACTATGTCTTATACACTCTCGAACGAGACAAGCGTCTGTGAATTATTAAAATTTTATAATTTTAATTATTTTAATAACAGTATTATATAATATAGTTTAGGTAGTATAATAGTATTATATAGGTATATAGTAGTATGCTGTTTAAAATTTTTTTAATTAATATTAATTTGCATAGTTTTATATAATTTTATTTTATTTATTCATGAAGTACCTAAAACCTACCTAAATATTTTAAAAAAAAAAAACAACTTATATGATGAATTATAAGCAAGGTTTATGTGACATAAATTCAAATGTATCTTTGAGGAGAAAGAATATTAAGCAATGACTAAACAATATTTAAAAAAAAAAAGCACACATTGCAAAACAAATATTCTTTTCTGTGGTCAAAATCTAAAAGGTTAATGAGGATCTATCTTCCATATTTTCTGTGGGTAGGCCCCTTAGGGGGGAGCCAATTTGTTTTTTTCACCGGGGCGCAAAATGTCTAAATGCGGCACTGCGGTTCTCTATTCTAAAAATGAATCTCAATATTCCCATTGATACGGCCGATACGGGGAACAAAAATAAATATTGAGAACGATTCTGGTTTAGCAACCAGGAAAATTAGTCCCCAAAAAAATAACCCTCCAATAAAAATGATCTGTACCTCCCTAATAATCAATTTGTTAAAATGTCAATAATTTATAAATATAAAACAAATAGTCAATTTTTTCAGTTTTTTCAGTCACGGTAAATTTGATTTTTAAATTTCAATAATAAATTTTCGGAAATGCACAATAAATGGGTTTGTTTTAAAATTTCAATAATAATGTGTAAAAAAAATTCTCACTCCATTCACTTGCAATACAATATTATGAATATATATTATATTATGTTGATTCATTTATAATTATATTAATTATATATTTTATTACAGGACACTTGTCGCAGTGGCGTAGACATGATTTCTGAAAGGGGGGGATCAAAAAAAAAAAACGACATATCTAAATGGGATGGGAGAATTGGAAAAACCCCCACCCTCTAAAAACTTTTTACTAGGGTAATAAAAAGCCAATGGGGGTCCGACCCCCTCGTCCCCCCTTGTATACGCCCCTGACTTGTCGTATACGCTCTTAACCACACGATTTAGTGTGTCAATAATTAATTAATAAAGTTAAAAGTTCCAAGGTGCCACCAACATATTTATAAATATAGTTGACTATTACATGTTATATGTACAGGTATCTTAAATAATAATTAAAGAGGTATCTTATTGAAATAAATAAGATATAAATGCGCCAGTAGAGCGAATGTGACAAGATAGTCATATTATAAATAGTACAATAATAAATATGGAACATTGTACTTATATTTGTATTGTGAAAATTTGATCTCATAAAGAAAATGGTAATATAAACATTTTGTAAAAGTTTAAAGTATCTACTTATCTATTCTACGTTAAATACGGTTATTCGCTTTTGTGATGCTACAAAAAAACAAAATTGATTTTGTCAACAATTTGTTTTGTGTAAAAATTCATGTTTTTTCTTTATTTTTTATTTTTTTAATTTGATTAAAAGTGAATATACATACCTTCTATTTTCAATTCTTTAGATTATCCGGTACTTTTGGAAAACTCTGAGTTCTTTGATTTTGAAAGGTTTTTATTATTGATTTTTGTTTGGGAAGTTCTTCAAGAATACTTTCTGAAAGACCCGTTACGGCGTTACAGATTCTGAAAATGTAAGATCTTAATTTTTGCATAGACGAATGAAAGATGGCACGAAGATCAATTGTAATTAAATGTTTTTTATAGTTTTTAACATTATTTATGGAGACATAACAATATTATTGTGCATATATACCTATAGGTATGTTACCTATACATTTTACTATAGGTAGGTACGCAATAGCCAATAACATAATAGTATAATAGGTATTAATATTTAGATTAATTTGCAAATCATGCAAAATCTCATAAGGGGTTTATTTTCCGTGGTTATTTTTTCGCGGTACCACTTCCAGTATTCCAGCCGGTAAAATTTTATAACAATAAGTTAATAAACACATAGGTGTACCTATGTAGTGTACAAGATTGGTGTTCTCAAGCTGTCGACGATCACAATTTCATGATTGGTACCTACCTAAATAATATTTTTAGTGCTTTTTAAAATTAAAAATATGAATAGGTACCTAAATATTATAGGCATTATACCAGGCTACGTAAACGTAATACATTTCATGAAAAGTTTTAAAACAATACCAAGGTATTAAGGTAAATCGGTGTTTCATGTTCATAATAATAATTTATTATATTATTATAGTTGACAGTGTGGCAGTGTGGCAGTGTGGTAATAGGTAACTATATTCTAAAAATTTATAAATTAGTGACTCAGTACTCCAGGTATTGTAATTTCATAATTTGTGATGATTATTGCAATTTAAATTGCAATACTACATAATGGTGAATACCAATTTCCGTGAATTGTGTGATCCAAGACTTGGTGTTACTACGGCGAGTACGGCGTTGCGGACGAACGATACACCCCCAGGAAAGTCTAAACGGAATGAAAACAAAACGTGCGCTTGGCGGTCGTGGCTGCACTGCCGATCGGCGCGGTCGCCATTGTTCCGCGTGTACACCGCCCGCCGATCGACTGCCGCCGTCGCCGTCGTCAAACGGTTGGAATCGACCGACGCGGCGACGCCAAACACTTGGTTAATGGTTTGATTACTTGAACAGCGAACGCTTCGTCAGACGTGTCGTCCGTTGCCGCACTGTCCGCACGCACTACTCACGCCGCCGCCTAAGCCGAATCAACTACTCATCAACCAAAATGGTTCAACTCGTTACCGACGCCGTGAGTATAAAACTTGGAACTTGGAATATTTTAGTTGGTACGAACATTTTCGTTTGTGATTATTTCGGATATTTCGGAGGAGCTTTCAACCTGCCTAACAATAGTACTAACAATATTGTACTATCGCATGTATTTGATTGTGCGCTTTTTACGACAATCGTCGTAATATTTTGTGTTTTCCGTAAAATTTATTGCGCGCGACGTACGGAACGTGTTTTCGTTTTGCGCACGTCGACAAGGTCGTCGTCGTCTTTATTGCTTTTATATTACTATATAATAATAATAACGTGCGAACCGTGCGAGGCGACCGCCCGAATTCGAGCCCGCCGCCGCTGTGAGGACCTCACTGGGTGAGGTGAAGGGCTTTATTTAATTTGTCCTCGACCGCCAACAGTGATGATTGAAGTTTTTAATTTGGAGATGTGTGCGTGTGTGTGTGAATAATATAATATATTATATATTATACACACATTGGGTCGTATCTGCCTTTTATTATGCGGCCGTGTCCGGCGTTGTGTGTGTGGGTGCGCGTCAATATTGAGCGGACATGTTCTCTTATCTATGGTTTCCCGGTGCAGCCGTCGGATAAATAAATTGATAAACCCATCGGTTGCCGACTTGCTCCTCGCGAAAGTTTAATAATAATAATATTGTATGTGCGTAATATAATTTAAAACTAATATTACCCGTTTCTCACTAAACTCGCGACTGTAATAATAGTCTGTTGTGTGCCATGCGTCACATCGACAAATTCTAATTTTTGAATCACCCAATCGGTATGCGACCTGTATGTGTTCCTAGAAAGTTGAAAGGTCGTCATGATGACGTAAAACACTCTGTAAACCCACCTATAGACATTATATTAGTACTATGTAGTATAATATTATGTCGAGTTTATGTAATATAGGTACACCTACATAACTGTTAATGATGAAAACTGCCTAGGGTACCTAAACTCGATAATTTATTCTATTCAACACTAGCCCCGCCTCGAGTTTCAATCCGAAATATAATTTAGTAATTGATTGAAAATTTGATCATCATCTTAGTTGTATTGTGCGCAGCGATGGGCCTAGTGAATCGTTAATTAATTTTTATAAAGCATAGAGCACTAATACAATTTTAATCATAAATGTGGTCCACAACACATTCATAACCATGTTAGTTGCATTGTAATTAAATTGAAAATAACAATATTAGATTTGAAAACTAATAAACATTTACCTAAGTACATAATTATAATTACATATGGCATATATAAACCTAATGACCATTTTAAAACATATTTGGTCTAAAACTCTTAAACTATTTTATATACCTTGTTTCAATAAAATTAAAGTTCTTTTATTTCAGCCACTAGCCTTCAGTCATGAATTAAATGTTTTAATAGGTCCATACTATTTAATTAGCCTCATTAGTGTAAAACTGACATATTTCTTTATTATATTAATGCATTTACTTTAGATGTTAAAATCGATGCTTATACACATTATCTCTTAACTGCCCTTTTAATTTTAATTTTCCAATGTTTAAATAATTTTTCTAAAGAATAAAGATACAAATTTTGATAACGGTAATGTCCTAATACATATAATAATATTAATAATAATTGCTTAGTACCTTATTATCATCACCCACTGGACACTTGAATATCATTTTGGGTTTGGTTATCTACCTAAATAAAGTTTAAAATTGTACCTATGTGTGAAATGCATTGAATTAGTATTTTCACAAATCACAATAACTGCTTTATATATATATATTAATTTTATATTAAATAATATTAGTAGGTATTATTGTATTCAGTATTGAAAGAAATGTTTATATAGGTGTTTGGGAAAAACTTTATTATTGCATGTATTTAAGCTGAATATTACAAGGGTCTAATTTTTCAACAATTTATTTATTTGTTTTTTATATTTCAAAATAATGTTCAAGTGATTCCATTCATAGCAACGTAATCTAATACTTCAGCTTTAAACCTGAGTTTATTGATAAGATTAAGTCATTTGATTGTTAGACAAAAAAAATAGTTCTTGAAAAAGTATTAGCACTTACTAGTGTCAATGTAATTTTCTATGTATTGTATAAGTGTATGTTCATTATGACATAATTGTCATTCTGTTAACCTTGTTTGATAGGTATATATGCCACATTTAAATTTGTTTAAAACTTGTTAATTAATAATGGGTGCTGTTATATTTAAAATATACTATACAATATAGGTAATATCTACCTACTTGAAGTACTACCTATATAATTCAATTGACATGGAAAACTGGTACTTCCTTTCAGATAGATATTATCTTGTATTATATAGATAAATACTAATAATTTATTTATCTATACATATATTATGAAACTTATCACAAAAAAATACTAAATAGTTATAAATTATAATTATATTTAATCCATTTAACGAGCTTTTAAATAATCAATACATGTCAACAATTATTAATATTTTGTAAATATATACTTTTTTTTTGTTAAAAGAAATTATATTTATAATTTGTATTTTGCAGGCCGATCTGGCAACTAAATTGACCGATGCCAAAGAAAAATTAGTCATCATTGACTTTTTTGCCAAATGGTGTGGTCCTTGCAAGTTAATGGCTCCATTCATTGAAGTAATTATTAAGTTTTCTTTATAATAATATAAAAATATTAATATAATGACGTTTGAATTATTAATTACATTATGCATGAATTAACATCAATAATATTTAGCATTTATTAGATATTTTTAACTAATTTCTATTAGTATGGCTATTTAAAAAAAGTATTATCTATTGCATTTCTTACAGAGACTAATCATTTATTTGTTCACAAATTCACTATAGTATTCTTTTTAATAGTGATAGTTTTCTAAATACAAAAATATTTATTTTATACTTATGATACTACTAAACTCTAAATTAATACATTCCTGAAATATATTCAGAGTATTTCAATGTATAAAAATCTAAATTTTGACTATTAGTTAATTAGTTAAAAGACAAATTAATAAAAACAAACTAGGTAATGAAAAATATAATATTTTTATTTTTAGGAACTGGCCAATGAGTACCCTGATGTAGTCATGTTAAAAGTTGATGTTGATGAATGTGAAGAAGCCGCTATTGAGTATAACATCCAATCAATGCCCACATTCGTCTTCCTAAAATCAAAAACAGAAGTAAAATGAATTAATATAATGTAAATACTCAAATTTGTATTATTCTACTTTAAATGTTATTTGATTTTTTAGGTTGTTCGGTTTTCTGGTGCTAACAAAGATAAATTAAAGGACAATTTATTGAAACACAAATAATAATATCAAAATTGGCTTCAACCATAGTGTCTTAATGGACCTGCATATATTCAATGAATTTTTTTTTATAATTAAACAAAAATAGATTTTATACTGTCATTAAATATTGTATTTGTTTAAAATTATTACCTACAAAAAAGTATAAATATATATTTTTTAAAAAAAAAAACTATAAAATATTCATAATGTTATAATTTATTAATAACCAAGCTATGCAATTGAAATCGAAATGTATACTTACACATTACGTACTTACTTAGAAATAAATTAAAATGCACATTGAAATTGCTAAAAACTAAATTCAAGTTTTGTTATTTTTGTTTGGAGCTGTGTTGAGTTTTATTAAATGGTCATGTCATAGAATATTAAAAGAGCCATGCCTCTAACAATTTCAAGTATTTCAGGTATTGTAATTTTTAATTAATATGATATACTGTACTATTTATTCATTATCTGACGAGTAAACTATATTATACATTTTTTTCGTTTGGTTTTCATACTAGATTCCAGCTCTTATAAAGACATTACTATTGAGTCATTAAATTTGACTGGCTCTCACATTCTCTGCTCAACTTTAATATGGCATATGCATGGAGGTAAATTGTTAAGACCACAATTTATTCAGTGGTTATGTCATGGTGTGTTATCATGCATGCAAGTGCAATGCCACATGACATGTTTAGTTTCAAATGCCACGCCGTGCTTAATTTTAGATTTGAGCAGGGTGATTTATTGGTTTTAGAATGTTTATTTTTTTTGTGTCATCCCCTGTTGGAGCAGTAAAGATGCATCAATATTAAACTTTGTGGGTGGATTCTGGTAGCAAATAGGATTTTAAATTTTTAAAATTAATAATTGTAGACTGAATTTTTAACAAAATATTTATATTTTCGTTTTATAGACAAGATTTTGGCTATTTTCATGCTATTTTTAGATATTTTAGATTTTTATTTTTAGATTCTGAGCAGAGCAAGGAAGCTAGTGGTTTTACAATGGTGTTTATTATTTTTTTTTTATATCCTGTATACAAAATTTCTCCCAGAAGGAGTGCTTTGATTTCAACATATAGTACCTTATCTTTTAGCAAATTGGACCAAGATGGTACTTTAGAGAGGTCATTTTTCGATTTTCTCAATAGTTATTTAATGCCACGGGAAAAAGTACTGAAAAATTACGAAAAACCGCTTAAAATGGGATTTTAATTTCTAACCATTTGTTTATCACCGTAGCAACGAATAAAAAAAATAATAAAATAAATAAAATAATTAATGACAATATAAAATATACAGACTGACAAACTGTCTCCGTTCAGAATCGTTTTTCTTATACAATGATATTATATCATTGAATTCAAGTTTAATACAATCCATTAAACAATGACCAACTTGTAACCTACTGTACAGCTGAGCGACATCCACTTACCTGCCTTTTTTTTTAGTTTTTATTCGATTTGTGGTTGATAATATTTTTTCTGAATAGAAAAGCTTGTCAATTAATGAACTACTAATGCAAGGTTAGGTTCCTCTTAAGTTGTTATATAGTAATTTTTTTTAAAGAGTAGTTTAAATCTATATAACTACGAAAATTTCAAATTACTTTTCAGTTAAAATAAATACTATTTTCAGTTTTTAGTTCGTTATTTCGTGGTAGTTAAGAAAATAACGTTAAAATTCATAGATGCGCTAGCCAAATATGACCTTGTTAGTATTTAGGTTTTAGAACTAAAATTTACTTTTGAAATTAAATATACTAATAAATTGCTCACGACACATTTTTAGAAAAATTAAATAATAGGTAAGTATGAAGTTACATGTAAGCCACGGGGATGTTCAAATAAATGGAATGGATAGACAAAGAAATATTATTTTGTCGATTTTCAATGAATATGTAATGATTTTACAGCTAACAACGTGTTCTTAGCTCTCGCCAACTTAGCCACACTGCGGTAATTGGTAGCTCATCTGTAGTGGATAAGCCGAAATCCACCCCACCTCGCTGTCTGCAGATCAAGATTTATAAATTTGTCAATTCAAAAGAGATGGTTACTATATATTATTGGCTGTATCCAATTGCACTGTCTACATTTTATACTAGCAACTATAGATGAATGTAAACAAAATGAAGACTTATTTTTTAATTTTAAACCGATGTTTCTCCTATTACTATACGGATTCCTAGAATTTTATATACACACTGAACCACGTATAGGGTTTAATAATATTACACATTAATAGAGAAGTGTTTATCGGATGTCAAGTCGTTACGCGTATGTGAGGTGCACAAACAATAATGAACTCCGTTGTAGCTGAATCGCCTATTCAAAGCGCCATGTTATCTTAATTTTGTATTTAAAAAAATATTGTAAAATTATATATATATATATATAAATATGGAGACAAAAAATTAGAAATTGCATCAGTTGAGAACGGCTGGGCCGATTTTGCTCAAATTTTTTTTAAATGATAGAGAATGTCGGGGAGCGGGTTTATAGCCTAAATTATGGACCTAACTCATGTTAGTTAGGGATTTAGAGACAAAAACTGAGTTTCACCGGTGGCGCCCTATAGCAGATAAAAATAAAAATATAATATAAAACGGAAAAGTTAAGATTAATTTTGAAACCATACACCGAATATTAAATAACGAATTGAACAAAGCTTGAGTCACATATAGTTTGTACACTTAATGGGCAACGAAGTGCACGGGTTCAGCTAGTATTATTATAATATTATACTATACAAAAAATTCAACTAGAGGAAAATTCCTAAAAAAAACAATGGAATATTGTATGGTATATTGTATAATAATACTAGCTGAACCCGTGCACTTCGTTGCCCATTAAGTGTACAAACTATATGTGACTCAAGATTTGTTCAATTCGTTATTTAATATTCGGTGTATGGTTTCAAAATTAATCTTAACTTTTATACAATAAGAACACATATTAAAGAGTTCAAACTAAAATTTCCAGAATCTTACACAAAACAAACTATTCGAAATAATTAGTTCTGTATAATTCCTCCCAAAAAAATTGAAGGGGAGTGTTGGCGCCCGTAGGCAAATACATTTTAGAAAACAAAAAAAACATTAAGAACAAATTATACAGTAGGAACACATATTAAAGAGTTCAAACTAAAATGTCCAAAATCTTAAACAGAAAAAACAATTCACAATGATTAGCTCATTAAGGAATGATAATACAGATGGCATCTGCATTTTATCAATATTTAAGTATAAAAAAATCTTAAACAAAACAAACTATTCGAAATAATTAGTTCATTAAGAGAGTATATTCAAAGGGCTCCTGCTGTCTATCATTATTCAAGTCTATACAAAAACTTCAAATTGAGCTAAATTTCTAAAAAAAAAAATGGAAGGGGGGCGTTGGAAAACCAAAAAAAAATTTAAAAAAAATACAAATTGATGTTTATTCGCTTAAGCTCGTTTTTTATTTCACTTCTTCGTTTCACCACACCCAGGTTACTATGTACCTATTTTGCCTATATAATACGCCGGGTAACACCGTAACTCGTAAGTTTGTACGAAGTATTTAAAATAATATAATATAATTTATATTTATATTTAAAATACACTTATCTGTATTTACACAAACTTTTAGAGTAGTCTATACTCTATATATCCTAGATATAGATATTGAAAATTTTACAATTATATATTATTTCACTATAATAATAAACTTTAATATAAACTGGTTGTTATCAAATATCAAGAATCACAGCTGTTAGAACCAGAAAGACCATGAGAACTAATAGAAGTCTAGAACTCTAGAATAAAGATACAAGATTCTAAAAACTAACATTTTCTATTATGAATTATAAAATGTCATAGTAACTTGTAGTAGTGTGTATGTATGTAGTATGTAACTGGTAAGGTCACCCTTACGAAAGCCCGGATTAAGGATCAATTGGGCCCCGGGACACCATACACTTAGTGGGCCGCCTTTCAACTTTAACTTAAAAATAATTGTATCATTACATAATTTATATTATTGTATAATTTTTTACTATACAAAAAATATACATGGTGTATCTTATGTCATTGTACGCGGGGTTTTTTAACAATTATGGATCGATGATATGGAATTTCGTTAAAACAAAAAAAGACCGGTTTCTGTATTTTTATTAACAATAATTTACCTACTTACCTACCTACAATAATTTTTTTTAAAACTGTATTGGACGCGTTAAAAACATATATTTTGGGGTTAAAGATGGGCCCCCAAATCAATGGGCCCCGGGATCGTGTCCCCCTTAATCCGGGCTTGCCCTTACGGTCGGATACAGAAAATTCACGGATCCGAGACTGATTATAGGTAGAAGAAACGTGGATTTTAATATATTTTTGGTTACACATTTGGTTACATGAATAAATTATAATATATTACATATTATATTATATATTATTAATAGCACACAAAATACACAGGTACCTACATAATTTTAATAATTTACCTGACACCTGTAAGGCCACCACTGCAATGGCGTGGTGGCTGCCGCTGTTGCTACTGCAGTTGTTGTGGTTATTGCTGTTGCTGTTGTTGCTGCTGCAATATTGCTGCCATTCCTCGGACCTCCTGACCTCCGGGTGAAGAGTCTTAGCCGATCTGACTGTACTACTCCATGATGGGAGACATTACACACTTGACGACAAATATTGTGATACGCCGATGTCCACGGTTCTATCTCGACCTCAGGATTAGAGTTTATAGCTTTACTACATTGACATGGTAGTATTTCGACGGCTGTTAACTCATATAATTATTTTATTAAGAATTTTTAACAGTTTAGCGTTTCGTTTCTGCTCATTTGTCATTCTGCAGTATAGAATTTGTGTTATAGAACTAGGTAACGTGGGCGGTATTAGTCATGTATAACAAAAATATTGTCCAACATGTCCAACGATTATTCTATTTTATTCTATTGAGTTTTCGATTTTTATTCGTGTTGTAGGTATTAGCCGCTATCCATTTAGAATTCGTT